CGCGGAACAGGCACGGACAAGGGTGTCTATGTCGGCGGTGAGACCAGGCCAGTACACGAGCTGTCGGGCGCGAGCCTTAGTGCGGACGAGACCTTGATGCGAGGCATGAAGGTTAGCAAGAACGCGTTGACGCATAGCCAAGGGAACTAGAATGCGTTGGCCTTTCATGACGATGCCCTGGTCCACTGACAGGTGTTCACGTCCATTCCAGAAGGGTTGGAGTGGAGCATCCAAATCACGCTGACGAGCGGGAAAACCATGCAGAACGCACTGGACAAGAGACTGATATACAGGATCAGCTGAGGCGGCTGCTTGAAGTTCAACAAACTTCAGGTTGGGGTGAGGACCATCATCACGGAGCATGCAGACGCGGATGCTGCGGCAATGAAGCGCAGGGGCTTCGCCGAGTTCATCATCTGAAGACGGGATGCCGACGGGATTGCGAGACAGCGCATCAGCAAACGCGTGATCAGAGCCTTTTCGCCAGGAAGCGTGCACTTGAAACGACTGCAGCTTCAGGCGAAGACGGAGAAGGCGAGGATTCTCGATCTGATCTAGAGAATACGCGTTGATAATCGGGATCAACGGACGGTGATCGGTGATCAGATCAAATAGGGTGCCGGATAAGTACAACTTGCACTTGTGCACAGCCCAAACGACGGCGAGCATCTCGAGCTCAACAACAGCATAGCGAGATTCGGCGTCAGAGAGGTAGCGGGAGCCACACTGGATGATTCGCCACTTATCATCCTGCTTCTGCCACAGAACGAAGCCGAGACCACGTAGTGCAGAGGCATCAGTCTCCAGACGGAGGTCGTGTCCATGCTGGTAGAAGGCCAGGATAGGAGGAGACAGCAGAGTAGACTTGGTCTTCTCGAACGCAACAGTGTGGTTGGCATCCCAGACAAATTCACGGGTCGTCTTCAACAGACCACGAAGCGGAGTGGTGCAGGCGGCGAGGTGTGGTGAGAACTCGCTACACTGGTTCACCAGGCCAAGAAACGAACGCAAATCAGTGCGGTTCGCAGGAATGTCAAAATCGCGAATAGCCGCTGCCTTGTCATCGTCAACAACCCAGCCGTCTGGACTGACAATGTAGCCGCAGAAATGGATGTGACGTGACGCAAAGGTGAATTTGGACGGGCTCAGAGTAATGCCATGCTGTCGAGCACACAGCAGGATGTCACGAACATGGGTGACATGGGAGGCAAAGTCGTCATCATAGGCCAGGCAATCATCTACAACCTTGGCGAAATTCGGGATTGCATCGAACGCAGCATCAGTGCGGCAGTTGAAAACATCCCCGGCGGAAATCAGGCCTTGAGGGTTGCGTAGGAAACGATACCTGCCGTATGGGGTGATGAATGTGGTCATTGGACATGCCTGCTCACTCAGTGGGATTTGCCAGTATCCGTGCCTTGCGTCAAGCTTGGTGAGGAATTGTGCCGATCCAATACCAGAAACCACATCGCGAGCGGTGCGAACAGGGTGGGCTGGTCTCAGGACTTGGTCATTCAGTCGTTTGAAATCGACGGTGAGGCGTTTCTCGGAGGTACCTTTCTTGTCGACGAGCACAATTGGGTGACACCATTCACTAGGCTCACTGACAGGCTCGATTATGCCATCGACAACCATTGTGTCCAGTTGTGACTTGACCTGGTCACGAAACGCGTACGGAATCGGGCGTGCGGTATGGACACATGACGGCTTAGCATCTGGCTGAAGTTGGATGTCCATCGGAGGACCTGCCATCGCCTTCAAGCCAGTGTCGGAAAACACGTCCGAGAACTCCTGCAGTAGCTCATCGCGAACACGAGCGATATCAGCAGAGCTAGGATTGACAACAGGCTTTGATACAGCACAGATCTTAGGTGGCGCGGCAGCATTAGCAGCAGGGTACTGTGCAGGCCAATCTGGCGGGAGGAGCTGGAGTGCACTCAAGGACGAACGTGATAGAAGAGCATCGTCCAGACCCTTGTACACGTGGATTACGGTGCTGTGTTGTACTTCGCCAACCTGAAGTGAAGCACGAATACTGCCGACGTTCTGCAACTGCTCTCCAGATGCCGCTAGGACGCACTCCGGGTCATGGTCGAGGTTCTCGGGGAACCCGCCAAGCAGTTCGAGATGATGCTCGCCAACGGCATCGACGTCACTGCCAGTATCAGGGACCCAGGGTAGCGTGACTGCCTCATCCTCAGTGGCTAAACGGGTGGACACACGCACAGTAGGCTGCGCAGCAAGACGAGTACGCTGCAACTTCAGTTGGCCCACGTGCTTCACGTTCCGGTCCGATTGTGACGACGACCTACACATAGCGAGAAAGTGACCAGTCTTGCCACAGCCATTACATTTCTTGCCGCTGGCAGGGCAACTAGACTTTGTGTGCGGGCTCCGGCCGCAATTGGGGCACTTCTTGTGTGTGTCGCTTCCTGACGAGGGAGCGGATGCAGATGGCAATACAGGTGCAGACATCTTGCTGCCAGGCTGTCCCTGTCGGGATTGTTGCTTACTGCGTTGGTACGCGGACCGCCGCACAGCATTGAGCTGGCTGGTGGACGGGATACTGCTGCTCGTCGTGGTAGCCGCTTCCTCCGCCCGGCAAATTGTGACTGCATCGTTCAGGGTCAAGTCCTTGGCAGACAATAGCTTGTGCCGGGTAGCGTCGTCACCAATTCCAATGACAATCCTGTCACGCAGGGTGTCAGCACGCACACGTGTCAGGCTTGTGCGACAGGTACTACATGTGTGTGCTGAACATTGTGAGCACAAAACAACGTCCGGAAAATCACAGCTAGTGTGTAATTCTTTCAACGAAGTGTAAAAAGAATCGAAAGACTCGCCTTTCGACTGACACCTGTCGTAAAATGCGATACGATCCAGGAGTGGGTTGCGCTGCCGTCGCAAATATTCCTTGACTGCAGAAATCCCATCGTCCGCATCGGGATTCGGTGGAGTCACGATTATACCCTCGCGGAGAAATCTGCGTAGCTCCTCATCCAGAGCTTGCCGCAGCGAGGATACTCTGGTCTCACGGCTCTGGGCTGACAGGTGCTGGCACTCATAATAGTCTCGCCACATTTCCTGCCATGCCGTGAAGTCGGCTAATGTCGAGGACGACAGTAAAATCGGTCGCTCCGCAGAGACAGGCTTTGGAGCTGGTGATGTGGTGCTGGGTTGCACGGGTTGTTGTGTTGGTTGTGTCAGTCGTTGTATAGTTTGTTGGAACAAGTCAGCCATTTTACGTTCCCTCTCCTCTGAGGACTTCATTTGTGCCGCCAACATCGCGGTCAGGGCAACAATGTCAGGAGCAGGGTCTGAGTCGGACATCGTGGTCGCAACCTACGCAAATGCTGATCACGAACAAACTACAAAACAAAATCGGTCAGTGCGCAACACAACGAGGTGCAAACACAAAGCACGAGAAACTAAACACACAGGTGAGTTCTACAAGGAACGAACAGTTCACTGCGCCATGATATGTCTACAGTTAGCAAGAAGACATTTATTATAAAACAATCTGAAGAGAAGGAAAACACAACTGAAGAGGCAAAACACATGAAGCACGGAAGTATCTCCCAAGCCAAGCAAGCATGCCGTTATGGTGCGAGGTCATACAACTGTGGTACAAATCTAGTACGGGAGTACATGAACTACAGGTCAAATATGGCATGGGGGAATCCATATACATCAGGGGTATTTCTTCGTTTGTAGTACTGAAGTATATAGTTGACCGGTTGCTCTGTTGAGCATGATCTCCAGTTGATTTCACACTAGAATGGAACTCAGAAGAGGGATATACTTAAGCTGATTTATTCCACAGGTTCTTGTGTGTACCACGAAACACTGTAAAAATTCAACATTGTTGCAGGATTTGGTATACACACTTTGGAACTCAAGCTGAGAGCAAGCATAAGCGTTGAAGGCCAAGTCTTTTTTTGGCCACTGCAAAACAATAATTAGCACCTGTGTGTGTTTGGTGTGTCCACTTGTGTGTATGGGGGGGGGGGGGGGGGGAGAGCTCTTGGCAATACAGGGGAGGGAACTTGTGCATTTCTATTCGTATGGTGTACCACGTAAACTAGTGACAGCAGAAAGAAGTTGTCATGCTTTGGAAATATACTGAAGTCCATCCAATGTGCCTTACACCGATCTACTAGTACAATGCAAAGATTCAGGATGTAATGCACAATCATGTTGGTGTTAGTGCATAGCGTACTCACGCGATTATAGCCCTCCCTTCAAATTGTTCAATTGTGCCCTACTGGGAAAAAAATATAGCCCTCTCTTGAATAGTGCCCCCCCCCCCACACTTTGTAGTTGTAACTACTAGTACTTGTAGTAACTTGTAAGCAAGCGCATTACATGTGCAAGTTTGTTGTTCTTTTGGCAAGGTTCTTGTCCATGTCATTGAACTGGTGGTTTCAGGATCAAAATCGCAGTTCTTGTTGCCCTTTCTGTTGAGTCGTGATATTTTACAGTAAACTGTAGGCTCTGTTTTTCTTTGCCTCCTCTGCCCTTATGCGGGATGGCGTAAGTGTATCAGCATTGAAAACATAGTGGCCTCTCTTGATCAGTGCCCCAACTGCGACCATGGTGATGGACATTGAAAAAAATAGTGCCCTGGCCCAGGGGCACTGATCCTGCGAGTACGGTATCATCTTGGCATTAGTGCATTATATTCGTAAAGCGGACATACAGAATTTCCAGACTAGCCTGCCACTTTGCATTATATTCCTGATAGGACTAAGGATAGTTGCCTAACAGTTAACAGGCTAACACGCAAGTCTAAGATCTAGTACAGGGAGTGCTGGAGAGCAGTACTGAGAACTCCAGCACTTACGTCTAAAAAAAGTAATTATTATGGACACAGTAATGTAATGACAATGAGTAATTATTATGGACACAGTAATGTAATGACAATGAGTTGGTTGGGTGAGGTTGATCACAGTCATGTGGAAAATGATTTTACTTTCAACATTACCGTACTGGTCGCTTACCTTGCTCGCAGTGTTTTCCCTCAAAGCCCGTCCCCGCACAGTGACAGTAGGACACACCATTGGGACGGCACTGACCACCGTTACTGCAGCTCACACCACCGTCAACACACACTGGACAGCTCATCCGCCTGTCCACGGCTGAAGAGCCCAGCAATGCAATGGGAGAGGACGGTAGACGACCGATGGTCGTCACCTCATTGCTGTCAGCACCCACTCCGCTTCGACGTACAGTCACACTGTAGCCATGTATACAGCCCAGTAGTCGAGGAGCAACGAGAGCTCCGGAATGCCGAGGCGTGTGTCCAGGAGGCAAGCCACCAAGGTAGACTTCCGTCGCTGCTTGCATCATCAAAGCCCATCCACCGCTTAGGTGTGCTTCCCCGAATGCCATGGAGTCAAGAGAAAGGGATAGATGAAGATCGGTGTTGTTACCGGAAGGAGAAAGTCTTAGCTTCACAGCATGTTCATTACCGTCAGCAACACCTAAGGCTGACACAGCGGAATTCAAGGTTGCATGCAGGTCACTGCTCTCTGATCCACCATTCGCCAGAACAACGCGGCAGCGAACTCGATGTCGGCTGGAGATAACTAACTGGAGCATCCCAAGTTCGTTCTGGGCGTAGAAGAGGAAAGAATGGGACATGCGAGTGTTGAATGCCAGGCTTACCTCCAGAGCGCTATCATCCCCGGTGGATGTAGTACTATCGTCTCCACCGAGTGGCCAGGACTCGACCTTGGCTGATGCAGCCAGTGTGTCGTTGAAAAACAGGATCTGGCCTCGTGCAGGCAGTACACACCAAGTCAGGACTACCAGTGTTGTTAAAAGGCCGTGGGCCAGTCCCAAGAACCTTGACTGCTCCATCTTGAACAACAGTAGAACGCACACCTCCTTCCTCCAACGAGCGAAACCAGTATGTGAAGTAATGATTATGTTGTTCTCTTCCTTCGTCCTTCGACCTTCTGAGCGTGGTGAAGGAGACTGAACTGCATGAACACGGCGCAGGTCTCTGACTGCCACTACACGGTATCAGCCAAAAATTCCTTTCGTAGGTCTACTACAAAAGTAATGTACTACGGGCCAGCGCTCAGCGCAACAACAGTACACGTCGGTAATCAACTACTAGTACTCCGGATCATGCGTTTGTACTCACTACAGCTGTATGCCACAAACATTCGTGTTGCGTTCAGGATTCGAATGGCCCTGATCAAGGCCGGGGCACATGCACAAGTCATTGGTGGAGGCAGGTGTGGCTTGAAAGTATGCACAGCACTTGCTGTGCCTCCGAACACTGGGTGGGAAAGCTTCGGTTTGCGAGAGGAGCCGAGAGAAGCGGTTTTCGTTGACAAGTTGAAAGCTCGTCGACCAGCGTGTCGAGTGTCCGCCAAGGTAATCCACCTGTTTTCAAGAACGCTGTTTGTGTTACTGTGACCCGCGAAGCTTGAAAGCTGACCCTTTCTACAATCACTGTTGCGACTAGCATCCGGACCGAGCAGTGAGCCGTATATGGACCGGTTCACCGCACTCTCATCACCACTGTCCGAGTCTACTGACCTGTAGCAGTTTAAGTAGTAATACTGCATGTATTTTCTTTCACACATCTGCAGGCAGCCGGAGGCCAAGAACAAGAGTAGAATTTTTGGTAGATCTACATGACTGTTACATACAGGTACATGTAGCAAGTAACATTGTAGATGATCTGTTGATAAGTGTTGCAGCTGAGCCAGGCGGAAAGACAGCCAGTGACGCAGTGTTGACTGGTGCATGGTCCCCGGGCCCGCCCTAGACCCTAGTCCATTCTTCGACCACGTAGGTAGCATTCATGTAGTCGTTACAGGTAAGGGTCTAGAACTAGGAATGAGCTCTCCCGGCTAGAGGCGTAGTACTACTACTAGTAGTTATAGAGAGACTCAGAGTAGATGTAGAGAGTAGAGAGTAGAGCTAGAGGGTGTAGGTCCGTCCGTTCTTTCAAACTACTTCTTTGTCACACTCCTCAACTAACCTACTTTATACATACTAATCTTGCTGAAGAAGATAAACGGTGGGGTATATTGTACCAATGGCATGTTCACACGTTATGACTGTGTAATCCCACTACACTGTACACTGTACAGTCAACTTCGCTAATAACGACTTCGGATATAACGACAATTCGCGAATAACGACAGAATTTCCATGCCCAGAGCAAAGTCCCATCCAACTGTAATACATATAATGGGACTTCGGATATAACGACACTTCGCGAATAAGGACGCTTTTCTGATGCCCCGCCGAGTGTCGTTATAAGCGAAGTTGACTGTACTAGTAATCGTGTTGATTCTGCATAATGATAATGCGGAGCTTACACCTGTACTGTAGCCATGCTAGCTGTGGACCAACCTCTACACCAAGACAGTGACTCCGTAGTACGGCTACTTCCGGTGACCCACCACGAAGGATAGATCGTCACAGTGTCAGTCTTGACTTTCATCTTGTAGGACAGAGCTGCGAAAGTGTCGCGAAGTCATCCCGCTCTGGACAACCCGAACCTCCCCAGGCCATGTAACATGCCTGGCCTCGGACTCCCCAGTGTTGGATTGGGACGATCTGCTCGATAAAGGGGACAACGCCTTCATTTTTGCTAGTAGGAGCGACAACTTAGCAAGTGGTGTTGCCATTTCCTAGCCTATTTGTCGCTTACGATATAGATACATAACAAGTCATGGCTGGAAGGACGTACTCCTGGAATAGACGGGTCGGTGACACTGATAACGTTTAGGGCCCCGCTATGACACATTTTCATTATTTCAATTCAAGGTCCAGGAAACCATGAGTCCTGACTGTCTTTACTACATACTCTAATTTCAGAAATTTTCGGTGCTCAATATTTTTGGTATGAGGGCAACAGGCCAGGTTAGGTGAACAGAAATTTTCGGTACAGAGAAGCAGTTCCCTATTAGTTTATGTGTGTTGGTGTTTGTTCGGTGTATTGAAATTTTAGGTATGGAACAAACGCACCGAAAGTACCGAAAATAAAAGTACATGTACAGTTGTACACCGAAAATTTGTGAAATTACAGTATAATATTATGTACATGTAGTCTACGCAGTAACGGACAGTAGCACCAGCTACTGCAGATGCAAGGCCAAAACGCCGCACGAGGCGGTGCGTGTGTGGTACATGGTGTGGGAGGAGGGGGGTACTATTTCATACACCATGGTAGCCTTTGCCTTTGGAGTACTAGTATATTAAATGCTCTAAAGGCAGATTCTGCTCGACAAGCAGTGAAATTGCCAGAACGATACAACCCTTATCATTATGGCTTATGGCAGGCACTTCCTTGCTCCATTTTCTTTATCCACATACATGTACTGTGCAGTATCCCTACCTTGCTTGTAGACAATGTAGTGTCCTGCATGTACGTAAAGTCTTTTTAGCACTCTGACACGTCATGTACATTGTACATTCGGTTGACAGCTCTTATCACCCACACACTAACAGTAACACGTAACGTCGTTCACATCTACTACACTTACTTACATACACTCCACACTAGCTCATACTTAGTACATGCAATTCTCCTGTTTTACTCACATAGTCATTACACCAATAGCTAGTTCTTCCATTGGTCTTGTAAAGTGTCTTCCTAGTATCTTCCTCAACACCCGGGTACCCGTTACTTCTCAGAACTCTTATCGCTGGCGATGAAACCTTTTCCTTGCTCTATTATAATTATTGTGTCAGTTCCGTTGCATTTTTGTTTAGTTGTTGTTCCGTTTAGTTGTGGTTCGGTTGCAGTTCAGTTCAGTTGTTGTAGTTTGTCGTATTCTTTATTCTTTTCTTCTTAAACTCCTCTCCAGGCCGTGCCGGAGTACGATCTATAATACGTGTTCGTTGAGTGTGCATGTGGGTAGTGCCTCCGGTAGATAGCCTTAGATCGACCAGGCCGTGCATGCTACATTGGTGGCAGCGGTGTGTTTTTCAATAAACAACGTGATTCGACCTCGCCATGGCCCAACCAGCTGCTCCCGCCCCAGCCGTCCGTCACCAGCCGTTGGTGATTCCCGAGAAGTTAGTTTTCGGGAAAACTCTCTGACCATTGGCCCACCTGGCAAGCACACTTTCAGCAGGTGGCTGGGTTCAATTTGTGGACGCCAGCCCAGCAAGTGCAGTACATGGGCCTGGCCCTGACTGGCGATGCCCAGTTGTTCTACCAGTCGCTACCGGCCGCCACACGACAGGGCGCATTTCAACCACTGTCGCAGGCATTGGCCAACCGCTTTGCACCACCGCAGCGCGCCAGTCTCCACAAGACCACGACTCTCCACCCCACCAAACATGCACGAAACATACCAGAAAAATTACCAATAATATTAATTATTTTTAAAATTCTGCCAATTTTTCTATCGGCGTTGGACATAGGAACATTGTGGACACATCGCTGACCCTAGCCTAGCCTAGCTCTCTCCTCGCGGCAACATCGCATACACAACAACTGGCGAATAACAACACTTTTCTTATTTATTCGCAAAGTAGACTGTAGTGTACTGTACAATGTCATGTACATATACATGTAGCAGCAGTCTTCCATCCACAAACGATTACTGTGATCATTGGGAATATGATTGTACAGATACAACTCATTACTAACTTCTTGACATCAACAAAGATTAGTTTCTCGCTAACTGCGAAGGCGTGACACCCGAAGTGGTCACGAAGCTTTCTTCACTCCTTGCTGCGTGTCAGCCTGTAACAATTTCCCAATCACTTGTAGCAATCATCAGATCATTCAATTTCGCTACAATTTTGCTGTTCACCTTTTGAATTCTTTGCTCTCCTTGCATTCATAATCATCATTGCTTTGTGCGTTCAATAAAACACCTTTTGGTAGCAATCATCAGATTCACAGCCAAGTGATGAAGTTCAGTCATGTACATTGTACATGTTCATGTACATGTAGTGCGTGGTTACGAATCTGACTGGCTAACTACATGTACATGACTGTGCATGTACAGACTCAGTACATGTACACTGTACTACAAGTACAAGTGAAGACAGGTATACAGAAGCCTTGCTTGGCATGTTTTTCGATTTTGACAGCATGTTACAAGGCGAGGACGCGTAGTGCTCCTGACTACAACCAACCGGGTTATGGTTGTAGTCAGGAGCACTACGCGTCCTCGCCTTGTAACATGCTGAAAAACAAGTGAAGACAGTTTACTATCATGTGACAAAAAATTCCCGGTTCGCGACTCAGCTGGATCATGGAGGCCGAGTTTTTCGCATCCGTGGGGACGCCACCACCCTACCCTCTGTGCATGTGGTAGGCTTTCCCCAAATCGGCCGTCCGAAAAATTCGCCGAAAACGAGACTTATCGAAAATCGCTAAGCTTGTCGCCGATTTTGGAGGGTTCCTTCGAGAATCGCCGAAAATCTACCAAAATTAAGTAATGTTGTTGCAAAGTGTGTTTACGAACGAATGACGTTGCTGCAAACATGACCGCTCGAGCTCTCCAGTTCTGTACTGATAGTACTAATGCGTTGAGGTAGTGTGACTCGTGTCCTTTGACCTCCTTTCAAACAAACATTAGCCATTAGGAAGATCGTTACTAGTAAAATCTCGAAATCGGCTGGCCAGAACATTCGCCGAAAACGAGACTTATCGAACACTGAAGACTTTCTTGAACGGAACTAAGTTACTTGCCATGTACGCACAGCACCCTGACTCCCACCACAACTCTCCTGCTCACTCTCCTCTCCGCTGTCCCCGTCACCAACGTGCAACCGCTCCATCATCAGATTCCTCCACCAAATCCCCATTCACCGTTTCCCGGACCATGCGACACGATATCAGATTCTGGTTTCATGTGCTGCCTCCTTCGTGTCAAGGGGAGGAAATGACATTGGCGCCGCATGTGGCTCCGCCCCAGCCACAGTCCCTGGCGGTACAGGCGGCGACACACGCTCCCGCGTGGTTCGTCCCGTCCACTCTTCTCCACCAACTACATGTGCATGTATGCCAACGACGGCGAAGCAAGCAGCGACAGTGAACACCTACACATTGCCTACACAAACAGTATCCACACAAGTGACGGGCTCGTGTTCGCTGCCACTGCTTAATTCGAATGCTGAAGTCTCTCACTGCCTTACACTAAGTGACTTGCAGTTGCTCTCTAGGCATTGGCGGATAATGCTCGAGAAGGTGGCAGATTCTGCTCGAAAAGCAGTGAAATTGGCAGAACCATACATGTACAAACCTTATGGCGGGCAATTCCTCAAATTCTGCTCCATTTCTTTATCCACATACCAAACATGCATGAAACTTACCAGAAAGAGTACCAAATTCTGCCAATTTTTCTGCCGGCATTATCCGCATATGCCTATTGCTCTCAGTGAAGTGACCTATCAGTACAGTATCTAATCGTGATTGAAGGCAT